ATTCTTCATCACTGGAAATTTTTAAATGAAGACAGACATTTTTTTCTAAAAGCTCTGCTCTAGGAATTATTTTGGGAAAGTTTCCTGGCCTGTGTTATGCAGGAGGTCAGGCTAGATGTTCCTACAGTGGTCCCGTCTGGCTTTGGAATCGCTGAAAGTCATGCTTAGTCTGCATATGTGGGCAGGGCTGGATGATATCCAGAAGACACGGCCCCTCTATACCTTTTGTGTCAAAAAATTATCATCTATAATTTTTTAGAAACTCTAAACATGTTTTACTGCTAGCTGCATGAGACCTCCAGCATATGTCTCCCAAACTGAAGTGCCCCGCAACAACAGTTTTTCTTTCCACATCTTACAGACAGTAAGGAGCTTAAGGAGTAACTCATCCTGTCCTCTGGTTGGATTTGGCAGTTTGGGAGAGATCCTCGCGAGCTCTCTCTTCTGGGCTTTGTTAGATAGCCCATTCAGCCAGAGGATGCAAGGTCCTGTGGTTCTGAGTTATCGATAACTCTAAAACAAGTAGTGGTGGCTTTAATGTAGAATGCCACCCCTCCACCTTCTTCCTGAGCACATTATAACCAATGATTTTAACATTCCAATACTGTGAATTGTCCCAGCCGAGTTAAGTCATGTCAATTATATCAAATTTATTCTCGTCAATGAGAATTTCCAGTTCCTTTTGCTTGTTACCCACACTCCTAGCATTGCTATATAAGCAATTGAAATTTGCTCATATTCTCTTCATGTTATTTGTCAGTGGTTCATGCCCAGCATTTTCTGCCATGAAAGACCACTGAGAAGATCACTTGGAAATTTACTGAAGTAGCTATCACAAGAGTAGACAAGCTCTACGTTTCCAGCCCCTGTGGTTGCAGAGAAAAGCTTGAACATGTAACTTGAATGCACCCTAGGCTCAGAAACCCAAAGGCAAATAAAAAGAACTCAATATTTATTTTAAAAGTATCTCATGCTTTTTTGGGCCTGACTCATGATTTTTGAATACTTGGGGTGGCAGTACTGCATAAGGACATGGCATTTCTTCATCAGTTTGTTTGCCGTCAGTTTATAAGCAGCCTGCGGCGCATAAATCCTTTTGGGCTTGGCACTGGAAATGATTCTGTAACACTCTTCCTGCACTTTAAGAAAACCGAGGCAATCCATGGATTCCAAGGCCAGAAGGGACACTTGTGATCATCCAGTCTAACCTCCTCTATAACACAGGCCAGAGAACTGCCCCCAAGTAATTCCTGTTTGAACTAGTTCTTTTTTTTTTTTAAATCCAGTTGATTTTAAAATTGCCAGTGATGGAGAATCCACCCTGGTCCTTGGTAAATTGTCTCAGTGCTTAATTACCCCCACTGTTAAAAATGTGTGCCTCATTTCTAATCTGAAATTGTCTAGCTTCAACTTCCAGCCATTTGATCTTATTATCCCTTTCTCTGCTAGACTGAAGAGTTCATTATTAAATATTTGTTCCCCATATAGGTACTTACAGAGTGTGATCAAGTCAGCCCTGAACCTTCTCTTGGTTAAACTAAATAGATTGAACTCCTTGAGTCTATCACTATAAGGCAGGTTTTCTAATCTTTTAATCATTCTTGTGGCTCTTCTCAGACCCCTCTCCAACTGATCAACAAGACCATATCCCAAATGGACAATACATATTCCTTGATAAGTGATGACACCAGGTGCCTTTCAATGCATGTTCACTTTAAGAAAAATGGGATCACTGTGTCTTCTATGCAGGTTAAAGCTTCTAGCAACCCACGTGCAAAACTGGATGAGCTGCTGGCAAGAGGGCAGAGAATACAAGCAACAGAAAAGCTTGCATCAGCTTAAGACATGTGCTTTCAGTAGCAACCTAAAGGACTCTTCACCGACTTCCTCCTGTAACTTATATTTGACTATGTTTGGATCTCCTTTTGGAAGGTTGATACACTGTACTTGACAAGGCCAGTAGAAATACAGGTTTGCTCTAGGAAGGGCCCCAGAAATACAGCAGAAGTGAATATCTTCATAATTTTTAAAAGGACATTTTCAGAACCTATACCAACTTTTCTTCCAGTAAGATGCTATTACATTTTCTGGACAGCTAGAGTTCAACTATTTATTTTATTATTCCTATCACTAAGGCTTCCACAACTGAGACATCCAGTGTACCCAGAATTAACTGAAGAGTACATCCAGGATCCTTAAGAAAAAGGGGCCAGTTCTTTCCCTTGCCACACTAGAAATTGGACAGGAGCAAGATCATGATGCAGGTGCTGTTGCAGTACCTGTTTACAATGGAATGAGAGTGGCAGAGAGGAAGAGGAGGAGAGGGAGGCACAGGCAGGCCACCGTGACTTTCATCCTCACCCTGGGATGGTGAATTCTGGCTCCACGGAGTTCTACACTTCAGCTGCACAAGGAGCTGGGATGTGATTGTTGGGGGGTTGGACTGGGAGGATTTGTGTATGGTCAGAGGAGATGTACAGAGGTTGGGGAGGTCATAAGCAGTGCATGTGTATAGTTTGGGGGGGGGCTTTGTTTTCAACATGTGTTTCAATCATAGTACATTATGTCCATGAGTGTGAAAAGACATTTCTCAAGTGTTTGCAGACAGCCGGCTGGCTCTCTCACAAGTTGTGGGCCCAGCTCCCTACCTCTGCCTGCAGGCACCAGAGCAGAAGCCAGACAGCAACCGCCTGAGTACCACATTCCCAACAGCGGGATTCGAAGGGCTGGCTTAGCAAAAGAGCCCAGAACCAAATTTTCAAGGTCTCTGACTGGGGCCAGATTTTCAAAAAAGTTTGGCCCCCAGCAGGCTCCAGGGAGAGCCACAGAAGCTGCTGAGAACTTTTGAAGATTGTGTGGCTGAGCAGTGTTGGAAAATGCCCCTTCAGACAGGAAGCGCAAAGTGAGCGAGAGAACAAACACCCACCACAGCATCACCTGCACAGAGCTGCCAGCTCTCAGCCAAGAACAGCCCTGCTAACATTCCCTGGTGGACGCTTCCCTGGCTGAGTCTGTGGTCTCTGAACCCTGGGGCCCAGCTGTTATGGTGGGCGTTGGTGCTGGTGAATTCCCGATGTGGTTCTCCTGCTCTCTCAATCTGCTAGGAAAGTGCTGCCGTTCTTCTACCAACGCTTCCCTCCCCAGATCAACATATATTTTCCTGAATCTGAATATTCATGATCATCATCCAAATGTCAGAACCTTCAGATCCAAACATCATCTAAATCCAAATGCGAGCCTCTTTGCCCATCCCCAACAGACAGCACGTGCGGACGGCAGAGCACGTAACATATGCATGCAGCCTGCACAGAAAGCTCCCATTAGGCCAGGAGCAAGGTGCCGAGCAGTGTGCAGAGCAAGAGGTCCGTGTGAAGGAGGTGGGGCTGAGATGTAATAACATAGGAATAATGCTACTACTGATCTGTATTCATTCATGAAGCTTGTATGTGACCAGGTCATGGGCAATGTGTACTTTAGGACTATATTAAATAGCAGAGGTAGCAGGAAGGGAACACAAATAGATAAGAAACCTCTGGGTAAACCCTTGCAAGGGGCCTGGACTAGTGAGCTAGGTTACACAGCTGTTTTGCCCAGGTTGGCACAGCTGGGTTGAAGGGACTGAAACAGATCAAAAGTGACTGCCGAGGAGGCAGTTGTCAGGGCCTGTTTGTGAAGAAACAGACTGACACAGAGACAGGCCCTGTGGGAGGGGTCTGTAGCAGCTGGTCCCTCCAACCGACCAATGTAAAGGCCTTTACTGTTTAAAATCCTCCAGCTGTGCTGTGTCCCTGCTGCTAAGAGGAAACAATTTGTTTTAAGAAGGCTGTTTGGTCACAGGGCACTGCAGCCCACAGCCCAGTCTAAGACTAGGATAGTCATGGGATTCCACACAGGGCAGGTGAAGGCATGAGGTCTGACACCAGGAGTGGGGTGCATTTGGGGAGACAAGAGCTGGGCCACGGGGGCAGCTGGCCCTGAACCATGACAGCCACACACAACATAAGGTGCGATTCCATTTACGAGTACATCAGAAAAGAGAAAGTAAGCTACAGCAGAAGCAATGTACAATGTACTGATTCTCCACTCCATCATCCACCACTTTTATGCTGGAAATAGTCTGGACAATCCATGGAGTCACAACAGCATAAAACTAGTGCAGTGGAGAAGAGAATCTGGCTCCAGATCTAGTAAATGGAAGCACGTCCTGGCTAAGATTCTAGAAGGTTCATGTTACAGACATGGAGTTCTGCCCAGGTTTGGAAATCAATTTTACTTTTCTAGACAGTGGGGACTTTACATAGTTTTATGGAATCAAAGGGGCATGTGTCACACAACCCAGTTCTCAGGAAAGACAGTTATTAGACTGGGAAAGTCATACCCATTAGACTTATTAAAACCCATCCACGGTACAATTCTGCAGGATACATGACCCGCATGGGAACAGGACATTGCGACATTCACAAATATGATTTTAATAGAAAACTATTAATGTCTGAGCTGAGAGCAGACAGAGTCCACCAGAAATCAACAGCAACAAATTGTTGTTTTAGAGAGTCTTGAGAAGAAAATCATGGGCTTGGAGGCTTCATATAGACCTACATGCCATGGAGAATAGTAATTCAAGAAGGACTGACTGATGAGCTTTGAATGCTATGGAGAGACAAACAAGTATCTATTTCCTATGGAGTATCAGTAATTGATATCAGCTTAGCACAGAGTTTTGCTGCTTTGTACAATAGTAAAACAAAAAAAAGCAACATTCCCTTCCCAATCATCTATGTACAGTTGCAAATTAGCCAAAGACATGGGGATAGCCCCATTATACCAGCACAACTCTGTTGAAATTAATGGAGCTACACCAGTTTACACCAGCTAAGAATCTAGCCCTAAAACATTAACCCTTTCAAGACTCAAATTTGGGTCAGCCCTTCAGAGAAGAAGCTGTCATCTAGCGTTTGCAATTTGACACAGTACCAAAGGAACCCTAAAAGCAGAATTACCTTTTTTCCTATGGTGAAATAGCACCAGGATTGAGCTTGGTAGGTGGGGATGTTTTGGTAAGACTGGAATTTCCCATCAGTCCATTTGTAGATAGCTGACCCAGGCGGAGTATACCGATTGGCTGTGGCTGCAAAAAACCCGACCTTTGGAATGACGAAGATCTCAATGCCCATGGTTTCAGAGTTGGTCATCAAGTTCTGATATTCTTCTACATACTCCAGCCTCTCTTTGACTAGGAAATAACAAAAAAAAAGTATGGAAATGAAAAATAGATGCGTCCTTAATTCAACTGTGTTCCAAAGTTCAATGGAGGGCTATATTTTTGATTATTTCATATGCATGGCACTGAGTAGCCAAATTAAAAGCCCTGTGCTGAAGGGCTTAAAAAAATCAAAGGGCTACTTAATTTACTGTTGGGCTCTACCAGCACAGTCCAGCCCTAGGCATAGTGACATGACAAGTGATGGCCACAGAGAATGGACAGCATGGAACAGGAAGACAAGGGTTCCATAAACACAGCTCTGTGAGTGGAAGGATGTTACATGTATTGCAGAGGCCACTCTGCTTAAGGATGCAAAACAGTTTCCTTTGTACCTCCCTGTGCATAACACATATTGATCATTTTCCAACACATTCACCTCCAGAGCTGCATTCTGTATGTCTGGTCTCTGCCAGCAGGTGAATGGTTCTAGAAAGTTGGAGCAAAATCCCTTCAGGCATTTTCCCATTATGAGAGGGTAAAAACAAACAAACAAACAAAACAAAACACACATTTTTTTAGTTTAAAAAAGGGTGGGGAAGGGGCACTGAACTTTGAATCTCATTGAGGAGACCATCGGAAGGAACCACCTGGAAGGGAGAAAAGCAGGTAATGCCATACCCTCTAGGGGAGAGCTGAGATCAGCTGGAGTTAAACCCTCTCCTCAGCACTCCAGACCCAGAACTGTGCAAAGGATTCCCCTTTCGGGGACACCAGAACCCCCACCTTCCTATCAGCCATAGGTGGAAGAAACTACTGGGAGGAGACAGCCAGAAACTCAGCCGGCAAGAGCTAAGCCTAGCAAAAAAAAATAATTGTGGTACTATCATGCCACAAACACGTCACCATCATATTGTTCACTCTGCTTGTATGTTATACTCCTTTCCCTTACCCTCCTCTCTCGTCTATCTAGATTGTAAGCACCTCAAGGCAGTGTCCTGTTCTGGTGTCCCCCATTCAAGAAGGATGTTGATAAATTGGAGAGGGGTTCAGAGAAGAGCCATGAGAATGATTAAAGGATTAGAAAACCTGCCTTAGAGTGATAGCCTCAAGGAGCTCAATCTATCTAGTTTAACAAAGAGAAGGTTAAGGGGTGTCGTGATCACAGTCTGTAAGTATCTATATGGGGAACAAATAGCTAATAATGGGCTCTTCAGTTTAGTGGAGAAAGATCTAACACAATCAATGGCTGGAAGTTGAAGCGAGATAAATTCAGACTGGAAATAAGAGTGAGAGTAATTAACCACTGGAACAATTTACCGAGGGTCATGGTGGATTCTCCATCACTGACAAATTTTAAATCAAGATTGGATGTTTTCTAAAGGATCTGCCCTAGGGATTATTTGGAGGAGTTCCCTGGCCTGTGCTATACAGGAGATCAGACTATCACAATGGTTCTTTCTATCCTTGTAATCTGTGAATCTTAGGCAGGGAGTGTCTCTTACACTATGTATAGCGCCTAGCAAAACGGGGCCTGATCTTGGTTAGGGTCTTGGGTGCTACTGCAATACACATAAATAATAATCAACCTAAAAGCACATCCACAAGGAATAGGAAGTGCATGATTTAGGCACCTGCAAAAGCTGAAAGATAAAATGGAGATGTTATGAAGGTTTGAAAATATTCCATAGCCCATGCACAGTAGAAAAGAGCTTTTAGACTGCAGGGTGGTAACCCAGTATTACCTCACCCAGCTTCTCTGTCATTAGCTTTTACACAGGCATTTCACACATGGATGTAGTATGCATGGACACACAGCTATTTAACTACCCACTGAAATGCCTCCTTCACCAAGAGAATTCAAAACATGCAAGCATAGGCACCGACTATAGCACCATTTCTCAAATGCGGCCACTGTGGCCTCATGTGGCCGCCAGGGGCTTTTTGTGCGCCAACGACAGCCTCCAGCCAGGGGGAGGGGCAAAGCATCGGCCCCTCCCCATCCCTCCTTGTTGCTCCTGGATGCACCGCCCTGCACTGCCTCTGGAGAGAAGTGGGGCACAACACTCCAGGAGCAAGGTGAGTTCTTGACCAACCTTGGGGGAGGGGGCTTGGGCCTCAGGCTCCAGCAGCGAGACTTCAGGAACCTGGCTGTGCAGCCCCAGGCTCTGACTGCAGAGCAGCGAGTACTGACTCCCGCCCCCCCGGCTCTAGCCACATGGCCGTGGAGTCCAGCTGCAGGGTTTCAGCCTCTGGCCCCTGGTTCCAGCTGTGTGGCCACAGGTGTTGGCTCTCAGCTCCAGTCCCGGGCTCCAACCGTGCAGTGACAGGCGCTGGCCACAGGCGCCGGCCACAGGCGCCAACCCCCAGCCCCAACCGCACAGCAGCGGACTCCAACCATAGGGCTTTGGGCGCTAACCCCTGGCTCTGGTGGCAGAGCTTCAGTCTGCCTCTGGCCCCCAGTTCTGGCCATGTGGTGGCGGGAACCGGGCTCCAGCCACGTGGCCCTAGCCCCGGGTGGTGATCCCCTGCCCCAGCTGCACGGCAGCAGGCACCAAATCACAGCTCTGTTCCTGGGCCCCAGCCATGTAGTTGGTCCCAGGTGCCAACTCCTGGCCCTGGCCACACAACAGCAAACGCTGGCTCCAGCCACTCAACAGCGGGTGCTGACTCCTAGCTTCAGCACTCAGCTCCGAGCTCTGGCCATGTGGCGGCAGGCACTAGCCCTGGGTGCTGGCCCTAGCCCTGGGTGCTGGCCCATAGCTCCGGCTGCATGGCAGTGGGCTCTGATCCCTGTCTGTGGCCACACAGTTCCTGTCCCCAGCGCTGGGTTCGGGCACTGAGCCTTAGATGCATGGCAGCAGACCACCAGGCCCTGGCTCTGGCCCCACAACAGTGGGGCTCATCACCGACCCCCATCGTCCCTGCTGCCTCCCACAGCCCTGTATCCATTCCCACCCATTCCCCTGGACCCCACTGCCTTTCTGGCCTCACATCCACCCCTACCCCCATTATCACAGGCCCCCGCTGCCTCCCCTGGCCCCGTATCCATCCTTCCCCCACTAGAACCCTGTAGCCTCCCACTGCCCTGCATCCATCCCACCATCGCCTCTGGCCCCTGTTGCCTCCCCTCTTTTCCCCCCCATCCAGAGCTTGCTGAGAAAAGTGATATTAACAAACATGCAAGTATCACTTTTCACAGCAGACTTACTAGCTATGAAAAGTGATACCTGAATGTTTGTTAATATCACTTACAACTTTTCATAGCCTCCCAGGTAGCTACTAAGTGTGCTGTGATATTAACAAATACACCTCTACCCTGATATAACACGACCCGATATAACACGAATTCGGATATAACACGATAAAGCAGTGCCCCGGGGGGGCGGGGCTGTGCAGGGCCACCCAGAGGATTCAGGGGGCCTGGGGCAAAGCAATATCGGGGGCCCCTTCCATAAAAAAAAGTTGCAATACTATAGAATGCTATATTCTCGGGGGGCCCTTGCAGGGCCCGGGGCTTGGGGCAAATTGCCCCACTTGCCCCCCCATCTGGGCAGCCCTGGGGCTGCACACTCTGGTGGATCAAAGCAAGTTCGATATAACGCGTTTTCACCTATAATGCGGTAAGATTTTTTGGCTCCCGAGGAGAGTGTTATATCGAGTTAGAGGTGTATACAAATATCACTGTTCACAGCAAGCCTCAGGACTCACTAAGCCCTGCATGGGGCGGGGAAAGGAGAGGAGAAGGGGGATCAGGGCGGCTCTAGGCACCAGCAAACCAAGCACGTGCTTGGGGCGGCACATTTTCAGGGGCGGCATTCCGGCCATCTTTTTTTTTTT